TAATTTTGTCTTAAATATATAAATTTTTATTATTATATATTATTTTAAATTTATTATTAAAAAAATACTATTCTGTTATTCTTCAAAAAGTAACTCTATTTATTTTATTTTACGATACATACATATTAATTTCGTGATTTTGTTGGGTCTAAGATATTACAGATTTTCTAAAATAAAAGTGGTTCAAACGAGTAGTACTGGTAGTTAAGAAGAAAGTTTTCTGTGATGGCTGTTTATTTTATAATGTACAACGCGTCTCAAGCGGTCTCTTCGGAATAGCATACTTGTATAAACCTGAATTAACTTCATTTCGCGTAGAGAACAAATTCATTTACAAGATTAAAAAATTTTTATAGTCTGGTCGGCATCCGACATGCATCGTACAAAGAAAATTTAATAAAATGTAACAAAGAGATGATATAAAATGAAAACAACTATACAATTGTTAAATATCAACAATTACATAAAAACTGTTCGATTAAAAATTAATTAAATAACGAATAAAAATAAAATATCTATTTCCCATACATATGAGCTTCCGTTTAAAAAAAAATATTGTAAATTTATTGCTCCATTTTATCAAATAATAATCCAGTTGTTAGTACCGTTTCAAATATCTGAAAAAAAATAAAAATAGTAAAGTTTTAGATGTGTGTGCACGATTCTGCAACACAGTCACACATATGAGGCTGCGATTGTTTGCAGCTTTAATTCCTATGGGCATTGCATCGACTGCGCAGAATTTATTTCTCACGTTACGGTTGTGAAAAGTAAGATACGTGATATACGTAAAAGAAATACATCATATGACGAATCGGAAGNNNGGAAGAGTTCTCAGATTTCAAGAACAACTTTTAAAATATTCCCTTCTGTCTGCACATAATACTATAAGCATATATATAATCTTCGTATGCAACTTTGCCAATCAATACTATCCATGTCTAATGCTATTTTAAGATGTGATTTGTACAAAATGCAAAAAAAATATATATATAATATTTAATAAATATATGTTTTTATAAAAAGAAAAATCAATTACAAATTTTCTTATAATTTTTTATTCCATAATTCTCGTACAAATTAAAATTGCAACATTTTTAGACAAAATTCTAAGGACGGATGTTATAAAATTATTGGTAATTTAATGCGCATTAGAGTTGTGTACAGATTTCTAGCGAATCGCGATATTTAAGTGCGTTTGTGATATATATTTCGAGAAATGGGACGTACATTCCGATGAAATATGATGAATATAAAGGACATCTCGCGGTTTTATCATCTTGAGTAGCTAAGTATGTCGCGTTTGCGTGTATTTCCGTCTAGAAGAGGCATGAAGCCTTCGAAATATTATTGCGCATATAGTACGATACACTTTCATATAAATTTATAAAATCGTTATTCGTCTGTGCGTCTCTTGGAGAACGTGCATATATGTATTTACAACAGAAGTCGGGTGTGTTGGCAAATACCATTACTCTTGTATAGCACCTATAGCTCTACATATATATATATATACTCAGGGAAACCTACGACGAATTCCATTTTTCTCGTTTCCAGTCACGGATCCCTTTGGATATTGTTTTCGCAAAAACGAGAGACACGATGCAACGGTCATGCTTTCGCTTCGAATCGAAAACGCGATAAGGTACATCTTCATGCTTATGATCAAACAATAGAATCTTGTAGATTTCATTTAAAAAAGTAATAGAATATATAAAAGTAACAGAATGCATATTACTTTTGCGGAATCGATATATGTACAGCGCGTGGGTTGAAAATTTTATAACTGAAAGATACTCTTCTTCAAAAAAAGAAGAAAAGAAATCAGTGAAAATTCTTTCAGAATAAAGTTTTTCAGATAAAGAAAAGTTTAGCTTTTTTTTCTTTTAAAGAGAGCATGCCATGAAGATGCATGCCTAAAGAGAGTATTTTATATTTTCTAATCTTGACGTAGACTTTATGTCATCGTGTGAAGTAAATATGGCTTTATCTCGCGTAAGCTGTTTGTAATTTCATCGTATCATCGATAATTCTGTCAGATAATATCTAACTAGTTTTGCGTCTATTAAATTGACTTTCTATTAAAAGGAACGTCTTTCCTCCCGAAGAGGATCGTCGACATAAAATTGTGCTCACACGGTCGATGGCTCATTGAGCTCATCGACCCGTATTTCTGCTTCACGTTTACCGTAAAATGAGATCACTCGCGATGCGGGTCCTTTGTCCTATAATAAAGTTAGCGTTTGTTTGTTATCAACGAATTCAAAAACGCATTGTACGAGTCTCCGATTGATTTCATGGTTCTTGCTTCCTTTTTGATTTTTCTGATATTTCTTTCGTAGGAACCTTTTGTCTTTTTTCTCTATAAAATATTGAGTCGATCAATAATCCTTTCTTCAGCTTTGTTTACTTATTTTAACTTTATATTCTTGATTTTTTCTTACAAAAATTAAAAAACCCTATGTCTAATGAATAAGTTAATGAATCGCTTTAGTCAATTGAGCAGATATTTGTCGATCTCTATATAAGAAAATTCACGAAAACGAGAATTACTATAACAATACGCTTTGGCGTATGATGTTTCCCTAGATTTATTGCACGACTCCGGAAGTTAATTACAATGCTTGAAAAAAGACAGCATGTAATGCTATATATTTTACTTTTTGTTGAGTAGCAAAAAGCATTCCGCCAAGTGGCCCATCAAAGAGATCCATTAGCAAAAAAAGAAAAGAAAAGAAAAGGGATGACGACACAGCGCATAACAAGTGTAAACATTATTTCACGAAGTTACAAAATCGATATTAAGTACACATTCAAGATTTATGCATTAGAAAATGCCGCGAACGGTAAATAGGAAATCGGGTAATTATTTTCCTCGGCACGTAGTTAAATGAGCTTTTGCTTTGCATTTAATTGATAATTCATATCACATGTGCAGTTTCTTAAATCAGCTACTTTATATACGTTCTCGTAAATCCTTTGACGAACAGCAAAGTTTTTTTGTTTATGGTTGTCACTTTCCGTGCTTTATGTCTTTCGTCCGTTTCGTCATAAATGCCGCACGTACGAGTCAGATTTATTGTCATTCTCTCCCTCCTTGAAGTTCTAACGACTCTTTTCGATACAAAACACATTTCACCAATAACGATTCGTATATGTGTGTGTGTGCGCGCAATCACTTTTAAGATCTATCTTGATAAAACAGCGATGGCAGTGGTCATTTTATGTTTCAATTTTATTGCTGATAAAGTTCACGTATTTCCGACACATTTGTACGAGCGTTTATGGTGTCGCAGAAAAGTAATTTTAAACTTAAATACATATATTATGTATATTGCTGTATGCAATATATGTATATATTTTGCAATATTGCAAAATATTTTTAAATTTAGAAGCTTTCAAGGCTTATTTCAATTTAAAAAAATTTTTAATGTAAAAAGTTTTTTTATTTATTTTTTAATATATAAAATATTTAAGTATAAAAAATATCAAATTTTAAAATATCATCTTTTAAAAAAAAAGAAAGAAAAAAGCGGCACATATTTTTTAAATATTGATATTTTATCACCAATTGCTATTAAGATATTTATATATAATTACTTTAAGTGTATTAATATCATTATATTTTTTTTATGCAGGTAATTTGTAGAATCTCAAAAAATTTCCATAAAACTGGTATATAATAAATAAATGTTATAGTACCATAGTAAATAAATTTGAAATTATTTAAATCGTGTAAATTTTTACAAATCGATTACAATCGGTCAATATTTCAGCGACTGGCCGATTTCTACAAAATTCAAAAGTAATATTGATCAAAATTTATACAGTGCTATGTAATAAGAATAACGTCGGTTCTTCCGAACAGCGATATTTCCTTGGACGATATTTCCTTCTGCGATATTTTCCTTGGGCATCGAATGCGATTCTTCATCCAATCCCAATTCCCCAAGCTTCACTTCTTTTATCAACGCAGTGCGCCATCGGCGTACTGGCCGGTCGATCAGTCTGTCTGACCGGTTCACAAACTGGTCTATCACTAAATCACTTACTAAATAAATCTTTCCTGAATTCTCGCGGTACGCGACACAATGAAAGTACAGTAGCAACATGCGAACGCTGCGGATTTACGACCAGGTGATACAACATCCTGCTATCTCGTCTTCAATAAAGAGGCTTATTCATGCAGTGCATACTTTTCACGATTTTCCAAAAAATGCAAAATATGTCTGCACGAAATATATTACTTTTAACATAAACTATAAAAGGAAAAAATGCTGTTGTGTATTTTGCAGACTTTAACAAAGATTTTGACTGCATATTGTTTAGAATTGTAATATTTTGTGTTTTTATATTTTTAAATATATAACTTGTTTTATATATATTATAGAACGTATTTAATTGTGTATATGATATCCACAAAATGTTATGTAATATGCGATTTTCTATAAATCATGCTGATTTAATGAATGATATAATTGAATTCAGTTTCCTCTACAATACCTTTTTTATTCATCTATGACAGAATATATTGTATTTAAATACAATTTAAACAACTCAAGTTTTCACGACGTTGAACGCAAGAGATTTGAATA